CAACCTCAACAATATTTTGATTCACACCGATCTTCTCGCTTTTCTTTAATTAATCATTTAGAAGATAATTCTTCACATCAACAACACCAACATATACAACATCAACAACACCAACAACATCAACATCAACATCAACATCAACATCAACATCAACATCAACATCAACATCAAGGATATTCCAATTATCATCATGAACAATTATCCAGTAATAGTCCGAGATTAATTTATAATGAATCAAATAAACCACAAGAACCATCTTTATTGACACAACCGATCGTTAAAGGACAAAATTTGAATTCTTTTGCTTCTTCTCAACATTCTCAACTTCAAGCATCTCAATCAACATCATCATCCTGTTCCTCTTCAATATGGTCAAGGCCCACTAATTCTCCCGGTTTTCCATGCATGGATCAGAGTCAACTACAACAACAGCAGCAGCAGCAACAACAACAGCAGCAGCAACAACAACAACAACAGCAACAGTTTAAAGAACACGCACCACGAAAACCTTCTATACAACCTTCTACACAACCTTCTACACACCCAAAACCTCCAATTTACCATTATGAAAATACTGCGCCTCCACCACCACCACCTACCTCACAAGCGATGAGATTTGTAAATGCTACTACTAATTTTTCCACTCCCACTCCTCCAGATTATTCACAATTTGGAAATATTAATTCTAACTCATTTTCAACCAATGAACAAGCAATGGCAAAATTGTTAAAGGTATTTATTATTTTTGTGTAATATTGTTACGAGATTATTTATAAATTTTATTTTTTGTAAATAAAATTAAATAAATAAATAAATAAATAATATATTTAATAATTAATAATATTTATAATTTGAAAATTTTCATTCTTTTCTTCCTTATTATTATTAAATAAAAAGGTGATCGATCATTGTAACCAAATTTCCCAATTTTCCACTCAATATCGAGATTCTCGCATGAACAATCAAAGTTCGTGGACTCCCGTCAGCGAATCTCACATTACAAATATGATTAATCGAACATACGATATATTAAATATTTTAATTGGTTTAAAGGGA